GGTAACTACCACACGTTTATGATACACCCCGTATATTGGAAAGTAATTTTAAAATGTGGACCTTTTACACATGAAAAACTTTCGTAGGACGTATTTTCTTGTAAAGTTCATATTTACTGAGATATCGCACTTTGACGCACTAATGAGCAACCCTGTATATATTGATGCATTGCATACATGTATGTATCTGCAGATCAGTTCTAAATTAAAGTGTTATTTCTATAGTTGGGGAAATATATCCATCATTAATCCTCTTTACATTGGCCTCAATTATCATTCATCGGGAGTATTCAGATGATTAAGTGTCCTCAGCTGTGGCCAATTTATTGAACGAGTAATCACGTAACTGTTATCTGCCTTTCGCTTAGTAATGTACAGAATCTTTCACGAAATTCTAAAATGAATAACACTTTCGGAATTGCAGCGAGAAACATTTCCTATTGCAAATCAGTGATTCTGATCGGCTAAATGTTCTTGGCATCAAAAATGGTTAATCCAACGTCCCGAAACTATCTTGACAATAATCAAATATTACTAGAAGCACTCGTGACATTATTGCTAAGTAGATTTTGCGATACGGTATTTAAAAGACGTTTTATTTAAAATCCACAAATTTTATCATTCTTGGAAATTTCAATCAATAAAATAACTACCTACGAGGCGCGAATAAATTCGTAACTAACTTAAATTACTAAATATTCCGATTATACATTAATCATAGAAACGACAGTTGCTGATAATTCTCTCAACACATTAAGACATAATGTCTGCGTTCAAATGTTCCATCTGTTTGGAAACATTACTTTAGTGAAACCTAACTTTTACGAGAGTCGACCACCGAAGTCGCAATATTTTCGGCTGAAAATGTCGACAGGAGTTCAAACAAAAACTGTTTGCTCGGTTTGCGTATGCATATACATGTTTGTGTGCCTCCATAGATGTAGATATATTAATAATTTTTAGCCCTCAAAGAGGGAAGCAAAAATGTTTGTAGAAGAGCATATTTCCTCAATAAGGCGTTAACGACATTGTTATCTCTAAAACCGTAAAGAGGAAAATATGAAACTTGAGGCCGATCGATAGTCAAGAGCTTTCATCTCGGAATATTTAGAATTGCTATTATTGCACTATTTACTGGGTTTGCTTTGACGAGTGTCTTTGCTGCTCTGGGTTTTATTACTAATTTTTAAACTCGAAAGAAGCAGAAGCAAACTGCGAAACCTATTGAACATTCTTATAGAAATCTGCATATTTACCTCAACTCTGTTATATTCAACGATTTATTTTCATAAAGTGTTTTATGACTTGGCTGTTGAAACAAATATTGAGACGGACACTATTTGGGACGTTGTGAAGTGTCTCAACTAAAGCCTGAAATATTAAAACTAGAAAACTCTAATATTCATGACCGAAAGTATTTTTTGTGAGAATGTACAAAACTTGATTTGCAATAAATCTGGAGAAAGAACCTGGTCACCTAATTTCGCCACATTTTATTGCATCGTCATGCTCATAGGCAAATAACGTTAATTTCGTTTTCATCAAATGCTGGTGTAGATACATAAATAAAACTAATCGGTTTAGAAAAAAAAAGTAAGGCATTCAGCTTGACAGATCAAAATTACTTATTTATTAACACAAAAATTTGGGTTTGGGTGTATTATTGTGGATCAGTATTACATATGAATTATTACTCGTTAACTACTGATCATATTACAATCTCATTTAGTACGGCATTAAATTATCTGATCATTTCAGCCTCAAAAAGATGATCTCCCTAATTGCATGCAGCTGCATAAAAACTTCCAAGTTTCTTGGGAGATCTTCGGTCCGGCCATTACAATCCAGCTCGCCGGGATGGTAGATGAAAATGAATATCTGGCCTTTGGAATATCAGGCTCCAAAGAACAAAGTCAAATGATTGGAGCTGACGTAGCTGTAGCTTATATAAATGGTTATCAAGGATTTGTAACCGATTATAATATTATAGCGTTGACACCGGTAATATATTTTTATAAGGTATTGTCCGAATAGCTCTAAATATTGTTAAACTTTTAGTGCGTCAAAGTACTTGGACAGTACAAAGGCGTCTGTAAAGATTCTGTGCTGGGAGGCCAGGAAAACAATCAATTGAACACAGCAGTACGGGAGAACGGAATTAATATTATCACATATAGAAGGTCACTTATATCATGTAAGTCATAGTCAGCTTCGAATATGGGAAAGAGATCGGATAGATAGAATTTCTTTAAAGTTGTCGAAAAATTCAACTTTTTGTCAGCTGTTAATATCTATAATGATATCAATCTTCACGTTAATGACGCTGAAGGAGCGTTTTGCATCCAAAATATATAAAAGACATTATTACAATCCGCTGAAACGCCCCCAACACAATTTATTCCTCTATAGCAGTTATTTGAATACACCTTTATAAATGCTGATACTACTTAATGACTGAACTAATTATCAAAATCGGATAAAGTTATTTAGCATCCTAATTGGCATATTTCCATTAAGTAAAAAAATTGTAACAGAATTGGCTTTTATTACGAAACATAACATCAACGACGAAGCGCTTTTACAGATTTTTTATATTTGATTGGTTTTTGAGGCCCTGCTATTATTAAACAATTTTCAAAATGTATGACAAAATAAATATTCTATATGGGCTCTACAACGAAAAATATAGATGTGTAACTTTTCTGATCAGCTATTTTTTTCTGTGCACTTTTAGCCGACGAGAGCGACAAAGAATTTCCGCTTGAGGGTTCCATTTACATTGTCTGGGCAATAGGAAAACTAGACGAAAATAATGAACCCGCATTCCATGACGTTTACCCGAAAACCAATATTAGTGTTGAACTGAATCCGAAGGAGCCAAAAAAGAGTTGCTATGCTTTCACCAGATCTGAACGAGAAGTGGGTGAACCATGGAGCAAAGGACAAATTTTTGATAAAACTATCCGAGTTTTTACTAGTACTATTGGACCATCCGGAGCCAAAAAAGGATATCAGGCAATAACAGGTATTTATCTTTCCATTAAAATAACGTGGTTTTAAGATTACCCGCAAAAAAAATGATAAGAAATCTGCTGTTTGCAACTTATCAAAAATTATTTTAAATATAGTTCCACCTGTGCTTAGTCTGAAAAAGTATCAGAATTTATATTGAGATAATTTGGTCCTAATGAGACATAGTTCTTGTTGCAAACAGAAGGCCTGATAATGGCTTTAGTATAGCCGAAATGTTGGTTCAAGGAAAATAGTGTTCTGCCGCTAACTTCCTATAGGAACATAAAATCGAGCACCTATAAATAAATGTTTTACTAATTAGCATCACGGCAATCAACAAACCACAACATCTATTTTCAGAGTTAGAACTCACAGAGTTTTCCATATTGTCATAAAAATTTATAATAATATGTTGCGTTAAATGAATTTGATTTTTGGGAAACACATGCATAATTATAAAAATTAAATAAAATGACTTGATAGCAAGCAATTAAAATTAACATTTTCCTTCACAACAAGTAAATGTTTGGATGAAAAATATGACCCAACTGTCTTACAAGACGTAGCAGATGGTCTAAAACAGATGGTCTAAAAAACACCGGAAAATAACGCGCACACACAAATAGAAAATGTTAAAATTAACCGAAACCAACAAACTTTCCATGAAAACAAGGCAATAATTTTAATATTGTTCCATAGTTCCGCGAAATGTAATAATTTGAAGAAAGATATGCGTTAATAAAATCGAATTTTTATGTCGCTCGGAGAACCAAAAAGAAAAATACCAACAATTATTGCGACACTGCTAAAAAGCTTTGGTCAGATACATTCGACGTTTTGAAATGGACATGAAATCTCATAGCTTCAATAGACTGTTACATGCTCAAAAGCTTCACTTTTCACAAGAACCAAATCATAACTTAATATCAATGTAAATTATCGATAATTTCATGCATATCGCTTCATCCGCTTAGAGCCAAATACTTTGTTAATCATTCGTGAGATTTAGTAAGCATCAGTAGATAAAGCCCATTAAAGTATACGCGTATATTTGCACAAATGGCAATCGCAGAATCGATTTTCTAACGTTTAATTCCTATCAGCAGCGCTATCGCCCTTCTGCTCGTTCAGAAATTGTTTTAACCCAAGATCAATGATATGTTATTCTGGGAAAATCCCGGATATCTCAGGTAATCCGAAAATTAATTAAATTGTATTTACGTAAGTACATTTATATTTCGAATCCAACGAATTGGACAAAGTCCTGGTTTGTTTTCATGTTTAAAGCTGCCATTGCAGTTGATAAACACGTTTTAGTAAAGAAAATGCCATATTTCATAAATTTCCCTCCAACTTTTCTTACGACTTTCATTAATGTCTGAAACCACTTAGAATCAAAGGGTTTGAGGCTCTATTGAAGCACGTACCTTTCTGTTGCCTTGTAAGTTTTATTCTGCTTAAAATTGCTTGAAATTGCTAACCCAGTAAAATAAATTGAATGCGACTTACAACTAATTATCGGCTAAAATATATTTCAACTAGACATTAAATCATTTAACAAAAATGATGAAAAAATTTTAAAAAGCATCATAAACAGTTTTCGATGTTCTGTGACCGGTCTTAAGATAGAGAGCAGAACAAGTAAAAGTTTTAGAACAACTGACGACTGTTAGTAAAAAGTTTATTGTTTAATAAAGTTTTATTTTCAATATTCTTGTTTTAGGCCACACATCCACAGCATTAGCGTGGTATATCAATGGGCTGCTGGCTCCAGAAATATGGCTTCGCAGAGGTCTCACATATGTTTTCAAAGTGAATGGAGGCAATGACCCTCATAGTCCTGAATATTATCATCCTTTAATTATTACTGATGATCCCCATGGTGGCTATGATCGACTGACCGACGTCGCTCAATCCAAAGTTAGAGTTCTAGCCGGAGTGGAATATTCGAGAAGAGGAAGGCCTAGACCAACTGCATGTAAGTTTCATATTAATTCATATATTTTTTCTTTTGTTAAATGTACATCTTACGGTTGCTTTTAAGCAAAAGTGTTGAAGTTGGTTTGCGAGCTGTTTTGAAAGTAAATAAGAATAGGCTGATGATTGGTTTTCTTCTACTTCTTCTAAGAAGTGCTATTGTGGTAATATAAATTTTCTTGCACTTGCTTGAATGCAACAATTTTCTTGTCACTTGTGCGCCCCAATTGTAAAATTTAGTTGAAAGGTGGCAGGTGAGGGGCATTAATAAAAATGTCACTATTTAATTATTTGCCGACTTTTCGACCTTTATTAGGCTCTTCTTCAGGGTCGCAATTATGCGCGAACTTTATGTAAAGCACATTCACTACACTGAATCCATCCTCAAGGCCATCTTTAAAACTGTTCATTATGCATCATTTCACCTGCAGTGCATAATTAACCAGACTCATGCTGCGATTACTTTTTACTTGAACCTTTCCTTATGTCTGACTCTCACCTCGCATTATATTAGTGCTAAAAAAGCGGATTTGAAAAAATACTTAAAAACGCAGAAAAATGAGTCTAATGAAGTTCGAAACGAAATTAAGGGATTTCAGCAACACACACTTAATGATTCGGCTCACCCTGTACATACATGTTGCATAACTGTTTGATAGAAAATGTGGTATACACGTAAAACTTTAGTTTTAAAACTGGCAGAAGGAAAACGTTAGTCGCAACCAACTCGCAGCTTCGAGACAAAAAGGTTTCGTTCGCAGTCACACCGCAACAAGAACTTTAAGTAGGAATGGCTAAGCACGGCATGGAATTACTGGCATTTTGCTGAACGATTTAATTAATTTTTCACCTCTTTAATTGATATTGAGTTTAGATATCATCAACTTAAAATTCAATGGAGAATTCAACATTGAAATAAAAAGCAGGGGGTTTCGTTTGAAGACAAGTAAGTTAATAGTAGTAAGATATTTCTGGACCATAAATAAATTTGGTATAGAAAAATCGAATTTAGAAGTAAACATTGCGCGTCTAAGCTCTTTGCAAAAAAATAGTCCGCTTAATTTTAAATGAATTTACAGAATACTTCTCGGACTCACTCTAGTATGACGCAGTAGATTACGAGCTCTTATTTGAGTACAAGACATTAACGATGCTTAGTTTGTTAAAACCATTCAAAATGCTATAATTTTGTCATTTTTATTTTTGTTTATAAGAAAACTTAAACTACATCGTAGAAGGCTTCACACACTGCGCGAATGTGGTCTAATGGTATTTTGCCTCATTCTGGGCGAAGAGCAATCTTTAGCCTAGGCGTCGACCGTCTCAATTTTTTTTTATAATTGAGAAATTTGGGTTTAAGCTTTTCAATTTTCCTTATACAAATGTTATTTTCGAGTGATTGTTTAAACGAAAATGAGGTATACACGTAAGAAATTATCGTTTTTATAGAAGAGGTATCGTTTTTATCGTCAGTTCCTCCTATATTCAATTACTGGTCACACTAATTTTGTATCGCAAAGGCTTTATTTTAACTTGATGCCAATACGATTTACTTCTGTTATTTTTTTTTAATTTCTTGCCTGAACATGGCGGTATACGCTACAAAGCAAGAAACTGGCGAGATCTAAATAATTAGAAAATGCCTTGTGGCATGAAAACACAGTGGTAGTGTGGGGCGGCACTTCGAGTCAAAATCCGACAAAGGCGTCTGAAGAACATCACAGAATTACTCCGCATTATTTCAAAACTTTTTATATATGAAATTGCTAGTGCTTAGCTATGTTAATACATTCATAGAGCATAGAGATTAGTTTTCCGCACCTGTATGTAGCTAATCCTCATATGTAATCAAAACTAATTTATGCAAATGTAAATTATTGACTGACCTCAATCAATAATCTAATTCGTCTCTAATGTATGCTTCCACTTTATAGCCATCTCCAAATATATCATATACGTACATGAAACATTCGACTTATTAAATATGAGTAATTATTTGTTTCAGCTGGTCGACTTTGTGTTTCCAAACATAAATCGAATCACGACCGACGATTGGATGACGACTTTGAGTCATTTAAGAAGTTCAACAGATCACTCGAGTGGTCGTGTGAAACTGGAGACCCTGGAACTTTGGAGTTTACTCCCAACTCAACTTGGCCTGATATTGTTTATTATAATTCATTCACTCAAGCCAATATGGGCTGGAAAATTCGTGTAATAGATAGTTTTAATCAAAGAGTGAGTTCTAGTGCCAACTTTTATACTGTGAACTTTTGTGTACTTTGTCTGTCAATTCTATTGAACTATTTTTTTGTGATTGAATGAGCGTGCGGAAGTATTCCTAATTTATTTTGTGTTTCATTAAATTGAATAATTGTATTTAATTTCATATCAATCGGATCAAAAATATATAGTACGAACAAAACTCATCCCAATAGTTCACGTTGAACACAGAGTTCTCAAGCCTGCAAAAACATACAGCAAACTATTTATTAAACTCGCTTCAAATTTGGCAGCAAAGATATAAATCCATACAATTATTATGAAACCAGGGCTTTATAAAGAAGAGCTACCACGTCTAAATATTTAGTTTATATACATCATCTGATCATTTTCATTTTACGTCCATACTTCTAGGTAGGTAATTGTGATAGTTTCATAATTTTGTACTATTTTTCATAGAAAATAAACATTTTGAAAAACCTCGATTTTTTGCATTAACCAGCACATACACAGCGTGTTATATATAGACCGAAAAACTAGGGATGGTAGAGACCGTCAATAGAATGATATTAGCTTCGTAAACATACGCAATTATTATTAATATTCCAAATACGCAGCGTTTTTGAGGCACAAGGTGTGTGAAGAAATTATAAATTTTATCCTGTTTTTGCGATCGGAATCTTGCACTTTTCAAGACATTTGACACAAATTTAGTTGAACACTGTATAACCCTCTGGGGTCGATTTTACGAGCAATTCGAGCCAAAAAAAATGACGATGAAACTTTCTAAATTAATATTTAGCATAATTTAAATATTAAAATGATTTTTTTCTGAATATAAAACTGAGAAAATCTGTAATTTTCTGGAGTTTTGTATTGAAAAATTGTATTGAAGTTGTATTGAAAAATAATTTCATATTTTTTAATTTAATTTTTAAATACTTGATTAGGAATAAAAATTATGTATCTATGAATACTGAAGAGTTTAACAACAACATAAAATAATTATCATTTTATCACCAGAAATCACGTTTTTCAGAGTTTAATCGATTTTCGGAAAAAATCATAATCTGAAGGTGCTTTTTTGCTTAGATTTGAGTTCAGCAGATTAAAATACGTAACCAACATTGTTGGCGCAAGACAAATTGTTACTTGCTAAAAAACTATGAGTGACCAGAGCAAAAAGTGTAAAATACCATATTTCCTTGGTTTCCATATAAATTTGCCGGCTGTGGAAATTATTTTTAGGTCTTCCGTATATTTTTTCTTTATTCCACATTACGTAAAGTATACTCGCGCCAGATTTCATCCAAATCAGTTGACCCAAACTTGAGATTTCAGATTTGCGAAGATCTTTTTTCGCACTGTGCATCGTTCAAAGCCCAAATCAAGGTTACTGTTATCCCCTAAAACATTTTTATGGTGCGCAACCGAAGAATTTTCTTAATTATTTGTTCAAGTTGAGTTGTTTTTCAGTTGCTAAAATATTAATGAATCTAAAATCGCATTAATGCTTTCACGATTTGGGAGCACAACTCGATTTCACTGAATTCTTTGCATTTCTGTTCTGTTTTAATTTTATTAACGACAGTGACCACTTTCAGGGGTTTATAATCTTTGCACGCGCGTACACGTACAATTATTAAAAGTTGGGAGTTTCCGAATTCTATACCTTCGTAGTTTGGGAAAACTGCAGGTGTTTCAACAATCAAATATCTGTTGCAACGATTCTCCTAAACCTTCTAAGTGATACCGCAGTTATTTTTAGTTTTTGCTTATACCTACAAAAGTGAACAAGTGTTCCCTATAGTGAATTCCATGTTAGTTTCCATTTTAAGTAAAGAGTAAAAATACAGCTTAAGCTTCCTTTCGTCTTGCGGTAAATCAAGAAATAATACATTGACTTTCTGACGCACTCCTCAGAATGGTGGATTTTCTACACACAAGAAAATAATAAACTTTTCTTTAGGACCCCTGATATTTCACCAAGAATATGCTTGTTAAAAATGTCGAAATCGTATAGATTCGAGAAAAACATTCGACTATTGCGTCGCGCCCGAGTTGAAGTATTGGCATTTGAAAGAAAATATCCGACGAGGATTAAATAAAGCTGGCAACTAATGGTCACCAAAGTGACCAATTCACTTGATAACTGGAGCAGCATTTCCTCAACACGTTCTTCTCGCTAACTTCTTTAACAATTGCAACTGACTATTCCAAAAACAAAACCGTTTTTTATTTTAGGTATCTCCCTATTAGTACTGAAATTAAAGTTTTGCATCTTAAATTAAATTTGTCATTTAAAACTTTCAATTTCTATTTCAAACATATATCAATGACAAAAAGACAATTACACCATAAATAAATTATTCTGCTCAAACCCATGTGTTGTCGATTTTCTCACAAATAGAAACACAGCGTAAGGTTTGTGTTTCTCCGGAGGCTTGTGCAAATAGTTCAGTTATTACGTGCAATGACTGTATTGTAGCCCGGCGTCCGAACCACTTCCATTTCCATTTCAATGGCTTAGGATTGGAAAATACTATTTGCTTTTCTTCGATGCATACGTTTTATTAAGGTATAATTTCCTCGACTGTCGCTGAGATCTCCTTGGAATTGCCAAAAGAAAGATATCGTTGTAGGATTTATTGAAGCTTGAAAGATTATCATCAATGTCGGGCTTAGTAAATCAGGAAGGTTGGTCGGCATATAAATAATAAAAATAGTAATAATATACATATATAATAATACATAAAATAACTCAAACAAATCGTTCAAATTTCTTAAAGTTTTACTCAATATTAAAAAGTATCAGTTATTGTGCAATGCTCCGAGGTTTTTCTCGTATTCTCCGAGTGAGCTACTATAACTTCTTTAAAGGAATGGCGCCAATTTTGAATCACCCTTTACATATACATTTACTTTAATTTCCTGAAGCGATGGAAAATTTTCAATTCGTTTGAAGAATGACTACTAGCGAGTGCTGTTACTTTTTATCCAATCTCTGTGGGCCTTTAACTTCTACCTACATTATTGTTCTCGCTGGAAACACCTCAAGAATTAACGCCTGCCATTAGTCTTTATCGACTGTCGATTCGAAAGGATTTACCAATTTTACTGCGCAATTTCCTAGAGAATCGTTTAATTTTGCCTCGACTTTGGTAGATGTTTATTTTTCATGCACTTGATGAATTTGTATTTTGATTTGTCATGTAGGATATTTTCCTTTTACCAACTACCTATTTTAAAATTGAACCTTTCTTGTTAATAGATTTTAAGTTTGAGCAATTATCTAACATTATTTAAAAATGTTTATTTTTCACTAATGTTACTAGTGTTATTTTGCATGATCTTATTCACATAGACTTTTTTATAAACTTATCAGTTAATAATTGGTGAACGTGGAAAATCCAAAAAAAAAATCGTAAATAACTCTGAAATATTTTTCGTTAATGGGAAAAAACATACCCCCTGAGCGCAGAAGTATATAGAAACCTATTTCAATTTTATTTTAAAATCGTGCTGTATGAATGATGATGTGGAGAATATTGATAGATCAAAGCTTATATTTTCTCGGCTACGAAAACTGAAAAATTCCGGTCACGTTGGCTTCTCTCCTCTCACATGGGAGTATGTTGCCTTAACAGATTCGTATCGTACATTCGGTCTGATGTGAACTTTTAAGGAAAAAATAACCAAAGAATTCCGGGTCATAAACTAAAACGGTAACAGCAGCACCGGCTTTTCGTTATATGGCTTCCTTGGCACGTTCGGGAAAAATAAATGTGTGTAATAATTTGAAACTACTACCAGAACCTTTCAATGCGTTATATCTTTAACTTCTGTACGTAAGAAGACTTTTTAACGGTATTAACTGAGCCCATTGAGTGTTACGTTTTACGATCAGACTTTGCATTTCATAACCAGAAAACAGCATTTTCGAATTATCTTCAAAAATATTTTATTAATTAATTCATGTTTTAATTGATTCATCTTGCCATTATTTAAACTCTGTTTTACCCCTGAATAAGGAAATACATTTTCCGCTTGGTGAATGATTGAGATTGTTTTTTGACTACTACAACAGGACGATCCTTATAGCAAAATTTGTCTCGCAGACATGGCCAAAAGTGTCTTGTTTGCCTGGATGAAAACAACGGTAAAATCAACCACAAGTCAGCGTAAAATCTACAAAATACACAAACCGCCATTTAAAGTGATAAACCAATTAAAGGTCTCGCACAGCTTTTTCTAATCACAAATTTACATAAAGTTAATATAAAGTAATAGTTGAAAAATTCTCATAACTATCGGTGCTTCAGGTTTTCTCGTTGCATCAGCAATTCTGGGATAAACTCGTACTATTATGATTCCCAAACCTTATATGCAGGTGGCATCGCTTTGAAAACGCAATTGAAAAAAATTTTCTCAAACATTGACTTCTCAACTGAAGAGAAATCAGAACTTAGACTTTTAATTTTGCCCGTTACTTTCCTCGATTTACACCTAAATCAACAGATGTGCGCGTAATGTTAATAAGCAAACATTTAATTGCGGTGACGATCATATTCAATTGCGGCTGCGATACAATTTATGATTCTTTTTTTAACAAATAGTATCAGTTTGCTATAAAGTTTCCAATATATTTGTCAAAATTAGGAAAACCCAGAAATATGTAGGAGAAACTGTTTAAACATATGATTTATTGTTCTACTCAAACGCCCTGGAGACATAACGGCAACTATAATTCCAAATAAAAGTTTTTTTTGAATTCCAATCAGCAGAAGAAACTAATGTATGTGTACAAATTTTATTGTACTTATACATACGTACATACAACATGTACAACGACATATTATTTTTAATTGTAACTCGATTAATAATAATCAGCTGTATTTCAAAAGATGCTCAAAAGGATACTTTACTACTTTGTTACTAAAAGATTTTTACAGTCGTGCAAACATTTCAAGGTGTCACTAACAGGCAGTCAAAGCGAATTTTAATATTCATATCATGTGAACCGACGACTGCAGTCGCCATACCATTTTTTAGAAACTGTGTGTTGGACTCTTTGGAAAAATTGTATCTAAATGACTACGGTCATCTACGGCATAATGGGGTGGCGCCACCTCTTGCAGAAACCACACATTTATGTCCTAGTTTATTAAGTGGGGTAAATAGCTTCTTAAAAAGTCGGTGMACATGTTTCTGTTTAAATGTTTTCACAAAAACGTGGACCAATAATTCTATCTTTAATTATACCACACCGAACATGTGCGAACAAAGATRTTGATTGGACAAAGTTCTGATTCAGTAAGAATTTTTCTCCGCCCAATAATGCATGTTACGTCTGTTTACCTTTAAAMAAATATAAAAAAAATGTTTTTCAATGCCGTAGATTTTATTTGTAATTATCCTGCCCCCCTTATAAAATACAGGTTTGTCAGAAAAATGAGCGTTTCCAAAAATCTGGCATTGTC